CTTTGGATCTCTCTGCCTGCTGCCTTGGGGGCCTAACAAGACTACAGGGAGGGCCTGAGAGGCTGCATATCCTGGGGCCCAGCTCAGCCACACTGGGCCAGCCCTGGGCTCTTGGGGGTGTGGATGGCACTCACGGAACTGGGCTTTGGCGGCTGCCTTAGCAGCGGATTTGGCTGCAGCTGGGACCCCTGCTCCTGGGGGAAGAGAGAGAGGGTTCAAGGATGGCACCCATGGAGGATTCAGAGGCTCCCCAGGCCCACTTACTCACACAGCTTACCTATAACACCGCCAGGGCCAATGCCAACGCCAGGAGCCACACCAACACCGGGAGCCACACCAACGCCAGGAGCCACACCAACACCAGGAGGCACACCAACGCCAGGGCCTAACCCTGTAAGAGAGAGAAGAGCTAATCCTTAACCAGGTCCTGACCAAACTGGGCAGAAGCCAATGCAAACAGCAGTGGACTGGGAGTCAGGAGCCCTGGGTTCTTATTCCACCCAGGCCCAGACTTGCTGTGTGAACTTGGACCAGTTACTTTCCCTGGATGGGCCTTAGCCTCCTCTTCCTTAACATGAGATATGTGCAGGATCAGGAGTTCTTGACCTTTGGAGTTAAAAGGGCCCATCTGAGAATTCTGAGGGTGAAGGAGGCAGACTAATGTAGTAAATGGAGCTCTGTAAAACAGGCAGACCTGGCTTCAAATCTCAGCTCAGCCACCATTTAGCTGTGTGCCTGTGAGCAAGTCACTTAAGCTCTCAGAGCCTCAGTTTCCACATCTGTGAAATGGGTATAAACAGTACCAATTTCATAAGGTTGGTGTAAGGATTACCTCAGCAAATGGTAGTTTTATTAAAAAGGGTTGTTTGTCATATGTGAGTTTAGGGGTCAGCAGACCTGAAGTTAAGACTTCTCGGGCATGCAAGCCCCCTATCCCCCCAGCCCAGGGCCTGCCATACAGTTGGGTTCTAAAGTGAGCTGTTTTGTTGTGCCATTTTTCAGGAAGGTGTGGGAGCCTGGGACTACCCAAGGGCCCTCCGATGAAGCAAGAGATGGAGAACCTTGTCAGGGAGCAAGAATACTGCCATTGCTTGAAGTGGGTGGGAGCCCTGAGGAGCTCAGCAGCATTTGTTCCAGAAGCAGGACAAGGCCCCAGCCAGACTGGGAGGCAGCAGGGGCTTTGGGAAGGGTGGTGGCTGGGTCCTGGAGGGCTCGCCGGTGGTGCCTGCTGTCACTTTGTTTTCCTAATCAGAAACTTCACCCCCACCCCCGAAGTGGTCAGATGGGCCAAAGTCTGCGAGGACGCCCAGACTGTGACAGCTGAGGAGGCTGCCAGACCGCAGAGCAGGGACACGAGGGAGCAGGGCTCTAGGAAGAGGGCTGGAGGCAAAACTGACGGCAGGGACACTCACCAAACTGGGCTGCTTTGGCAGCTGCTTTGGCAGCGGCGGCAGCTGCTGGAGTCACCACTCCTGGAGACGTGAGGAGTGAGGATCAGGGAATGGCCCCCAGCACCCCTCCCCACGCTCCCCCATCCCCTACAGTGGAGAGACCTTTCAGAGACCACCTCTAGGGAACTAACCCCTCTCCTAGACAGCCCTCTCCACACCAGAGGCAGAGAGGAAGGAGGCAGAGCCCAACCTGAGACCGGCCTGCCCTGAGGATGGCCCACTCTGGGCCCGTCCCTTCCCTGAGAAGCTGTTCGGAGACTGCGACCTCCCAGTCCTGCCTGTGATGGAGGGGAGCCCAAAGCTGTGACTGGTAGAGGTGTACCTCTGCTCCTAAACCCCAGTCTTAACGATCTGGGGAGCTTTCTGCTGAAGGTGATGTTAATTATAAAAAGCTTCTAGTCATGCCTGTATCCAAAACTATTGGAGGAAACAGCTCATTTCTTGGGGGGAAACTCAAAAGGGGAATTTCCTCCCAGAAAGAAGAAGGAATGCAGAAGAGAAAACTTCTGGTGGGAAAAAATAACCATGGAAGGTAATTTAATCTCATTGTGATTCTTAATCTCCCTTTCGCCTCTGACGGAGGAGGAGAAAGCGTACAGGGGAACCAAAGGTTGAAACAGGCCCTCCCACCTGATCAGAACCAGAAGGGCCCCTGGGGGGTGAATGCGGCCCCTCAAGCCTGGTTGAGCAGAGTTCTACTGCCTCTCAGGCTGACATCCTGAGGGTCCAGAGAGGGGACTTGCCAGGTTCACGCAGCAATTTGGAATCCCATGGAAAGCTCATCCCTCCAAACTAAGGGAAACTGCTTTCTCTCTTCCCCTGTCTCTGGGCTCAGTCTTGCCATCTGTAAAATGGTGCACTTATCCTAGGTCAACTCCAGGGCGCCTTCCATGAGATAAGCCAAACCTGTCTCTGGGCTGGGGACACAGCTTACCTGGCACCCCTCCAACGCCTGGCACACCGGGTATTGCTCCTGCGGCACCTGGCACCAGTCCTCCCAGGGCCCCTGCAGCACCTGGAAGGGCGAAGAGCATCCAGGCCTGCCCTCCAGGCCTCCAAGTGCCCCTTCTTGGGGGAGCCGAGGGTGGAGGTGGGCGGGGGGAACTAACGACTGTGTATGGGCACCTTTCACTCACTGATTTAGGGTGAGGGTGAGAAGCCAGGCACCAGTGATCCCAATGGTGGGCAATTGAAAAGGGCAGAAAAATTCACTGTGGCTTTGGAATATGGGGCCAGGGGCTTCTGACCTCGGCCCAGGCCACCTCAGCCCGGGAGGCCTGAGTGGGAGTCCGCTCTGCCCTCATGCTGAAGAACTGCTCTGAGCTTTGAGCCTGTGCCATGCAGGAGAGCAGGCCTGGATGGGGAGGAGGGAGGGCATGGCCCTGGGCGTGGGGACCGGCAGGGCAGGGGCACTTACCAATCTTGGCTGCCTTGGCTGCGGCGGCTGCCTGGGCTGCAGCTATGAGGAAATGAGAAAGAAAGAGACTCAGAAACCTTGCTGGATCTCAGCTGGGCTGGGCTGACAGCACTACTGCCCCAAAGGCACTGCAGGCCCTCCCTGAGCTCTCCCCCAACTCCTCCCTGAGCTCCTTGAAGCCCAGTCCACCCTCCCCCACTCTGCTGTCCTCCAACCCCATTTAAACCTACAGAAGACAAGCCCTGACCCCACCCCCGTCTCCCAGCAATCCCCCCCCCGTTTCCCCACATAGAACTAAGGCTCACGGGAAATGCCAGCTCCAGGAACACCTCCAACACCGACACCGAAGCCAGGAATGCCCCCAGGGCCAACCCCAAAAGTGGGAATGCCTCCAACTCCCACCCCGGCTCTGGCCCCTGCAGAAGGAAGAGACTCAAGTGGAAAAGGATCTCAATGAGAGAGGCTGGTTGACTGGGAAAAAGGATGCGAGCCTCCGCCAAGTCCCGGTCCATGAAGGATAGGAAACCATGGTATACCTGAGCCCTCCATCAGCTTGCTCCTTACTGATCCCTCCCAGTGCACCACCAGCCTCTCTTCTCTGAGCACTTGGGGAAAGGCCTCTGTGTTGATGATGGAGTCACTGGGCAGGTCCCCTATTCCTAGCCAGGTTTGGGCTCCTCTGAGAGAGTTCTGGCCAGAGCAGGGAGGGTCAAGGACGCTGTCCCCAGTGGGAATGCCATACTGGGGCTCACCTATCACTCAGCCTCATGGCCTCATGGTGAGAGACAACTGGGGGATACATCATCCTGGGCCCCAACAAGTCCAGGTCCCAGCACTGCCAGTGACCTGCTGTGTGACCTTGTCCAAGTCACTCCCTTTCTCTGGGCTGTACAACATGGTGGGGTTGGCATAGCAGATGAGGATCCTTTAGTTCTGGCAAGTCAGGGCCAGAATAGGGTGGCACAGAGCCCCTCGTGCAGCACTCACCGTATTTGGCTGCTTTGGCCTCTGCTTTAGCAGCTGCAGCTGGTGACACAGCCCCTGGAGAGACCAAGGGGAACACAAATGCTCAGGAGAGAATGGAGTGGAGGTGCTTAATATACATCTCTCTGTCCACCCATGTGTCTTTTTAGTCCATCTTCTTTCTATCTATGGAGCCAATATAGAGTTATTCATCCATTCACCCACTCATCTACCCACTCCGTCTACCCATCTGTCCATCCCTCTGCCCAGCCACCCATTCATCCTTCTGCTGACCTTCCCATATGTCTGTCCATTTGTCTATCTTTGGACCTTGATCTACTTATTCAACCACTTATCTCTCTGTCCACTCACACATGCATTTGTCTATCCATTCATCCACCCCATCTGTCTATCTATCCATTCATCTAAACATCTATCCAACTATCCACTCTACATTTGCTTTCTATCCACCTATCTATTCATCTGCTCATTCACCCATGTACTTATTCATGCCTCATCCCTCATCCCTCCATCCATCCACCCACCCATCCATCATTCTAACCACTGATCTTATCCCCTACCTGCCTATCCATCTGTCTTTTCATCTACCCACTTATCTTTCCATTCACCATTTTACCCATCTATGTATCCATCCATGTAACCACCCATTCTTGTATCTGTCCATTCATCCACCCACAACCCACTCTCTCATCCATAAATTTGTCTACTCATCCACATGGCCTACCTCCCCAGTTGTCCATCTGCCCAGCCATCCATTCATCTACCTACCCACCCAACTAGCTACCGTTTACTGAGCACATAGTCAGCTAAGGGCTGGAAACACAGAGATGAAAAAGACACGGTTCCTGCTCCCAGGAGCACTCTGAATGCCAGAAGGTGAATTGGAGAAGATGATTCTGGCAGTAGCTAATTAGGAGGTGGTTATAGCCCAAGAGAGAGAAGATGGTCAAGGGTATGGAGAGAAGAGGATGGATGGGTAAGGTGTTAGAAGGTGTTAGGGAGAATCCAAGTCTTGGCATTTGGCATTTCTCTCTTACACACACACACACACACACACACATAGCTGAGCTCACCTGGTACACCCACGACGCCTAGACCCCCAATACCTGGGACTCCAACACCTGGGACTCCAACTCCTGGGACTCCAACTCCTGGGACTCCAACTCCTGGGACCCCAACACCAGGGACTCCAACTCCTGGGACCTCCAACTCCTGGGACCCCAACACCAGGAACTCCAACTCCTGGGACACCGCCTACTCCTGGGACAAAGCCTGGCACCCCAGGCACCAATCCAGCAGCTCCTGTGGAAGGAAAGGATTATTCTCCTGGCCTAGACCCTGTGGGAACCTCAGAGGGCCTCCAGGGGCGTGGCTCTGGGGAGTTACAGGAGTGGCAGGTTCTGAGTGTAGGACCCCAGGTGGGCTGGCATTGCCTCTGGGTGGATCCTACTCATCTGAGAGAAGGGGAGGGAACTGAAGGAACCCCTGGAAAGCTCTAAGGGTTTGGATCTGTGATTGGGTAGAGCATGATCTCCGTCCAAAGCAGAGTCAGAATGCTTCACTGTTGGTGTGTTGGTGCAGCAGCTGTGGGTCAGCCCCGGGGGTAAAGTGGGAGGAGCCAGATGCTCCACAGGGTCCCCACGCTCTGCTGGGTCAGTCAGTGGAGAGCACTGGAGACAGCCTCCCAGGCAGAGTGGCCAGAATGGGCAGAGGCAAGGAGGCATGACAGTGCACATTTTGGGGGGGAACTCTGCCCCAGATAGACAAAGGCCAAGTCCATTCAGCCTTATAGGGCTGGGGTCTCCAAGGCCCATGCAGAGGCCAGGGCTGGCTGGAGCCCGGGCACTACCACCCCTGGGGGCACTCACCATATTTGGCTGCCTTAGCAGCCGCCTTTGCAGCAGCAGCAGCAGCAGCAGCATCTGGAGCCCCAGCCCCTGGAGAGACAGCCACAGAGGGTGAGGCCCTTTCCCTCGGCCTTCTCAAGGATCCCCTGCCACCCCCTGCTGGAACAGACACTACCTGCGATGCCTCCAATGCCAGGAATCGCGCCAGCCACGCCAGGAACGCCAACACCAACCCCAGGGAGAACTCCGGCTCCTGCAGCACCTGGAGGAGGAAGACCACGCAGTTGTGGCTCCCAGGGTCCCCTCCTGAAGCCAGGCAGGAAGGCTCCTTGGATGCTGGTGCTCTCACCAGCACAATCTCCTTTGGGAATGAGGCCCAGGAATCTCTGGCTGGGCCTGCCTGGGAAGGCCCCCACCCCACTGTTCCTTGACTCACCCCCAAAGTGTCCATTTCAACACCCTCATTAAGGGACTCGTATGTTTTCAGACAAATCCTATTCTAATCACTGCCACATACTGAGAAACCACAAGCGGCCTCTCCCGGGCCAGAGGGGCCCCTGCAGGAATGTTCAAGGCTTCCTCTCCTTGTGTTCCGAAGACTCGGCCAAGTTTGTAATCCAAGCGCCTGGCCGCCTGGCTCTGGCAGCCCCTCGCCGCCCCGCTCTCCTGCTCCCACATTCCAACCATCCCCTCCAGTCTTGGGGGCCTGAAGGGAGGGCCTGTGCGGCCTCTGTGGGGCAGGCCGCTGGCTCAGTGCTTCCTTCCACATTCATACCCCCTTGGGCTAGTGGGCGCATGTCTTCTGTCCCATCATGGCTATAGGAAGGGCTCCCCTGGGACTGGGGATAAAGGTGAAGACTTCCACCCCCAGGATCTGACTCTGAACTGGGGGATTACCTGGGGCAGGAGGACAGATGCCCACTCTACCCACCGCACGGGCATAGACAAGGCCTTGCCTCATCTGTTAGCCAAGGGATTATGAACTTGAGGAGCTAGTTAAAATTTTTATTGTACATATTAAATTAATACTAAACTATTAAATTATTTAAATGCTCATATATGTACTACCTAAAATTATCATTCTAACCACCATTGTACCCATTCCCTCTGCCTGTTCCTTCCTATTTTAACCACATGGCAAACTCCACCTTTATTTTAAGTACTGAATCAAATGTCATCTTCTCTGAGAAGACTTCTTGATTATCCCTACGTTGAAATGTCTCCCTCTTCTTGACTTCTACAACGTGCCTACCTTCTCCAGCAGAGCTGTTATCTGTCCCTGGTCTCTGAAACGGATGGATAGATGGAGGGAGGGAGGGAGGGACAGAAGGAGAAGGGATGGATAAATGGATGGATGGAGGGGTGGATGGATGGGGAAATGAATGGATGGGGGATAGATGGAGGGAGGAAGGGATTGATGGGTGGATGGATGGAGAGATGGATGGAAGGAAGAATGAATGAATGGACAGAGGGAGGGAGGAATGGATGGTGTTGAAAACTTGGATAAATGGTGGTGGGGAGGGGCCACCTTAGTTAGTTATCTGTGAGGCAGGCTCTCAGTGGTAACAGGGATGGAGAGGTTGGGGGACTGGCAGCTAGCAGGCAGGGACTCCAGAAGTACTCACCAAACTTTGCTGCTTTAGCTGCTGCTGCTGCCGCCGCCTGGGTGCCAACTCCTAGGGGAGAGGAAGGGGAGAGATTCTAGCAGGTGTGTCCCTGTATCTCCAGGGCCCACCTGTTCCAACCCCAATAAAACCAGCTGGTTCACATCTGGATGTGGGGCTGGCTGATAGAGCTGCCCCACCCTGGATCCTTCTCCAGGTTCCAGGTTGGGATCTGGAGGTAGGGCAGCTGGCCTGCTCTCTGCACAGACCCTGGCCAGCCCCAGGACTCTGGAACCTGGGTGAAAGGGCCCATTTGGTTGGCAGTAGGGTGAGACTTTCCTTACCTGTCCCAGTCGGGTACCCAGCCTTGCCCGCGGCACCAGCCACTCCTCCGGGCCCATAGCCTGCAGAATGGAGAGGCTTAGTGTGCATCCATGCGGATCTCACCATGGCTGCCCCCTCCCCTCCCCTTCAAGGACCAGGCCTCCCAGAGTCTCCACCTTGTCACCCCTAGCCAGAGTTTAATACAAGCATGTGTATGGGATGGTTATTCCCCTCTTTTAGATGAAGACACTGAGAATCAGAGAAGAAACTAGTTCTCCCAGGGCCTGATGATAAGTGGGAGGGCCAGGATTGAGACCAAGGCTATCTGAGTCTAAGTTCCATGTTCCTTCCTTGGGGATTCCCATCCTGAGACTCCACCCTGCCCCCGGCTAGTGCTCTCCTAGCCCTGGGCCAGGGCCACAGCTCCCTTGCCAGAACCCTGCAGCTGGAAAGCCAGAAATCGGCCAGTTGAAGAGGGCCTTACCATAGGGCAGCTTCCCAGTGCTGTAGGGCAGTCCATAGCCACCTGAGGGGAGGGAGGGTAGGCTCAGGGGCAGCCCCGTGGCGGCCCCATGCCTCGCTGGGCTCTTACTCCCTGGGCGAACAGACTGATTCCCACAGGTACTGAGACCCCCAGCCTGGCTGGTGAGCTGCTGGCACAGGCTCTCAGGAGAGCAGAGGCCTTGGTGGAGGAGGGACAGGGCACCCCTGCCCCAGGGCATGATGGGACAACCATCCCTTCTTAGGTCCTGCCGTGGCCACACAGTCTGAGTATCTTCCTTACTCTCCTTCCCATCAGGAAACAGCTCACCGTGTGAGCTGATTGCCAGGGTGCAGGTGGGTTGACGTCAGAGGGGTCTTTCCAATGAATGGTGTTTCTTACCATCAACACATGTGGTTTCCCATTGTGGCTATGGGTCTGTGTGTGTGTGCATGTGTGTGCATAAGTGTGCATGAGAGTGAGACAAACACTGGCAGGATGGCTCCCCCCCCCTCACCGATCCCACTTTCCTTTGCTGGCGATCAGAAATAAGCTTTAATACCCAGGTTTCCTGACCACACCCATCCGCCCCCAGACATACAGGGCCAAACAAGTCCCCTCTCAAGCTGGCTTCTCGGTAGTGAGGCCCGGGGAGCGGTGTCTCTTGAATCCCTCTTTGGACTTACCTGGTAGTTTGGGTGCCTTGATGGGGTACCCCAGCGGGACTCCAGGCTGCTGACCCCCAAAGGGTCCAACTCCTGTGGGAACAAGGAGAGCAAAATCAGGGTCCTGGGAACTTGGGCCAGCAGCCCCTTCTAAGGCCCCAGCCTCCTGCTCTGCTTTCTGCTCAGACAGAATGAGCTCCCACGGCATGTGGAATCCAGAAACCATCCTGCCTAGAAGGCCATCCTGCCTCTCTGTCACTGGTCAGCTGAGCACTCCCCAGGGATTGGCCACTTTCTCCAGGAAGCTGCAGGATGTGCTCCCCTTGGGCTTGGGCCACATCTGGGGCCTGTAGCCTTCGAAGCCTTTGGCACAGACTGCTGGGTTTTCTGGGCTCATTTGGGTGGCCAAAAAGAGGGTTGGGGCAGGGGAAGCAGGCCTATGTGCTGAAGCCACTCTGTGCCGAAGCCAGTCCAAGGCCTGGAGCAGTAGGTGTGCCCAGCCCCTCCCAGGGCAGGAGCCCTAGCCTGGCAGGCCACCCTGCTGACCTGCCCACCCACTATGAGGCAGGGGCCCCAACCTCGCCTCACCTGGGATTCCAGCAAAAGCTCCACCTCCACCTGCAATGACAAGGGGCCATCACTGCAGCCCCACCACCGTGGGCACAGGGCACTGAGGCCCCAGTGGCCGCGCTGATGGGTGGGCTGGCCTGAGCCGCCGCCAGTTCTGCCCAGACCTCTCTGCTCATGCTGCCCTCACACACACTCAGGGACTTCTGAGAGGTGTGCGGCCCACCTCGGCCAGCTGTCCCAGGCCTGGAGAATAAGCAGCGTCCCCCTAGAGGGACCTGAGCCCAAGGTCCCCCCACCACCCCAATCCACGACAGAGGGGACTGAGGGTGAATGGAGATTCCCACCTTGGGTCCCTAGCCCAGTGGGCCACGTACCTGGGGCCTTGGCCTTGACTCCTGCTCCAGTGGGAACCCCAGGAAGAACCCCTATACCTGGGAAGCGAGCTCCTGAGGGGGCAAAGAGGAGGCTGGCAGTGAAGGCAGGAAGGCCGGTCTGGCAGGTCCAGCCGGGGACCACAGCCCCCTCAGTTACACAGCCGGCCTCCTGCGCTGACCGTCAGTGACTGGCATGGCTCACAGGGTGGGGGTGGGGCTCTTTGGTGGTGACTTTTCTTCCCAGTCTGACCCAAGGTCAGAAGAGTTTTAATCCTATTTCCTAGCTATGTGCTTCTGTTGGCCTCTCTAAACTGGAGTTACTTCTCACAGCCCTGCCCACCCAGAGACGCCAGACAGCAGACGCCTGAGAGGGAAGAGCCTGCGGGCTGGGGAGGCCAGTGCCCTTCTAGGGCTTTCGCTGGATGTGATTCACAACCAAGCACAAAGCAGTCATCTGTTATGGCCAGGAAGTACTCTCACCTCTCCTGTCTCCCCTGGGGCTGGGCCACCACGGCAGGGAGGGGCCAAGGGAAGGGACACTCTGCCAACAAATCCCACAGAGCAGCCTGAGTCTGGGCTTCTGGGGGAATTCAGGAGGTCACATGTTGGGTGGGGTGGCCGGGCCCTGGCAGGGAAAGGAGGGTGAGAGGGCAGCTCCAAGGGTCTCCTGCAGGGCGGATGCACTGGGCGGGCCCCCTGGTGACTCATGGCTTTTGGGAAACAGCTGGCCACACTGGGGACTCGGTCCATCCTGGGGGGCCCCCCGCAGGCTGTGACAATGTTCTGGGTGTGGGCCTGGGCAAGTTCACTGACCTCTGTAGGGGAAAGACACCCAGAGAACTTTTGTCTGTAGCCTGAGCTTTGATGCTTAGGGAAACAGCGCCCATTAGGACCCAAGGTTTCTGGTGGCCTCAGCTTGGGGAGATGGTGTGGGGCCACCAGGGAGGCCACCAGGGGCTTCTCTCCTTGCTATAGGATCCCCTTCTCCTCCTTGCTCTCACCTGTGCCTGGGAGCACTCCACCTGGGTATACACCTGGGATCCCCACACCTGTGGCCAAAAGAAGGTGTGTGAACAGCAGCCTGGCCTCTAGGAACTGCTCCTGGCTCTTCCTTCTGTGGCAGCTCCAAGCTCCCAAACCAGCCACCCGGGGCCCCACGGGAACAGCCAGGGACACATATGCAGTGCAGTGGCTATAGCCCTCCTCCCACGAATTCCGGAAGACATCTGCAAACCCTTCTGTGCGTGGATTTGTCTCGTCTCCTGGAGCCTGTTTATAAGGCTGGCCCAGACTACCTCTGGGCTAAAGGCTTCCAGATGTTCCCTCCCTGCTGTGCAGACTCAGGCAGCCTTTTGTTTAACCTGAAGTCACTTCCTCAAGGGCTTGGTGCAGAGGAACGAGCACCAGATGGAGAGACCGTGCCCCTCAGGCTCACCCCAGCTCCACCGTGACCTTGTGGCTCCTTCTGCACTGACTCCCTATGAGGAGCCTCAGTGTCCCCATCAGTCACCTGAATGCCTGCCACAGAGCCTTTCTCTGAGATCTGTTCCATGGTCCTGGAAGAAGGGCCCAGAAGGTAGCCGGGGCCCCTCGCTCCCCCATTTAGGACACTGGCTATCCCCCCTGCCCTGCTGCAGCCAGGCCCTGCCCTTCCTGCCCAGTAGGCCTTGGGGGCTCTTGCCCCTCCCTGACCTCTGACCCCTAGCCCCAGGGACCCCACACTGACCTGGCACTTTCCCAGGCTTCCCTGCAGCTCCGACTCCTGCTCCAAGCTGAGGCACCACCGCACCTGATGGGGAAGGGCTACGTTAGAGCGGGCTCTGCCCCCACCTGTGGCCTTCACCTGGGCCACTCATACCTGTAGACACTCCTAAGCCACCAATGCCGCCAATACCGCCAACACCACCAAGCCCAGCACCTACAGAGCCAGGAGCAGGAGAGGAGAAGGGTCACACCAGGAACAGTGAAAGGCAGGAGGGCCCTCGGCTCAGGTCTGACCCTGCCGTCACCTCACTTTGAGCCAAGCACAGTTGGTGGGACCCCAGGAGACTGGAGCTGAGGATCCACCCACCTGCCCCCCAGGAAAGGTTCTTTGCAGAGTGGAGAGCCCACAGAGGCCGGAGGGCTTATGGCATGTCCCAAAGGGTAATACTCACCAGCCTTGGCAGCAGCTTTATAGGCTGCTGCAGCCGCGCCACCGGGCACCAGAGCCCCGGGGAAGGCGCCTGCAGGAAAGGCCCCGAGCCCTGCAGAGGGGAGGCCTGGTGAGGTCCTGCCTGCAGCCCTGCCCACCCGCTCTGCCCAGGAGCTACATTTGAAGCTCTTCTGCTCTCTGCTGGGCTGCCCTGCCAGGCAGTGACGGCCGCTCCCAGGACTGGGTTTGGCGTCAGAGAGCAGCATGGACCAGGCTGCGCCACTCAGCCTGGCAAACTGCAGGCATCTTTGGGGTCTCAATTCCCCACCTGCCTCCTCCAGAAAGCCTCCCTGAGGCCCCACTGAGCTGGGTAGCTTCTAGGGGCTCCCAGGGCTGCTTCTCTCCAGCTCTTATCACTGTGTGATAATAGCATCCAGGACCCAGCTGTGACTCCCGTGTGCCCTGAGCAGCTGCTCGGGGCAGGAGGTCTCAGCATCACGCCCTACACCAATGCCCAGGACAGGCCCGGCCGGCACCCCTGTACCCCAACTGCCCTCCATAGGGGGCAGATGCCCAGGGCTTGGCTCTGGCCCCCAGAGGGTCATCTTGCCTGGGTGTCAACACTTACCTGCCCCAAGGCCAGCGCCTGCGAGCCCTCCAACACCTGTGGGGAGGAGACAGAGCCAGGTGAGGGGAGGCTGGTGGGGGGCATCGGTCCTGGGCCGGGGG